TATCATTGACAGTTTTCAGTTTAGAAACCATTTGCAATGCATTTTGAAAAGATAAGTTTTCACTCCAATCTGCTGGGTCATTTAAAAGAAATTCTGTATCCAAGTTAAATATTTTGAAAAAATCTAAAGTTTCACTTGAGACGAAAAACTCTATTTCATTTTTCACAAATTCTGAAATTTCTGATTCTTTTAAATTTAATCGTTTGATATTCTCGTTTGAATCTGTTTTATAATTTAGTTTAACGATCATTTTTYTTTTTGATTCAATAGAAATACTTTTATCGAAAAATGCCAATGCAACTGCTTCRGGTGTTAGATACCACAAATGATTTCRAAATTTATTCATTGCTACTCTAGATATATTATTATCAATTGAACTATAGTTGTACAAGTTTTGTATAAAAAGTAAATCTTGATATGGTGCGGCTGCAGCAGTAGGTGCTTAACCTAACCATGCTTCAATATAAATTGTAACTACAAATATACAAATATCACGAAGTCCGTTTTTTTCAAAACTACTTATTCAAATTCATTACGAAACATGTATATTTTAAGAGAATAAATAGCTTTTGCCATCCATCTTGCATGGTGAGTTGCACSGGGARTATGGAAAAAAGTCGTATTATTTGGTTTAGCGCCAAGAAAAATCATTGTTAACTCGAGTAACTCCTTGTAATCGTTTCGAGGTTGTACAATTTTCAAATGTTCTTTTACAAACTYTAAGACTCTTGTTGAATGTGGATTAATAATTTCTTTAATTTGTTTGTCCGAAATACCTGGAGAAAAATTGTCCTTGTTTATTTTATTCCACGAGAGCTGRAATCTATTGAAAATAGATACTTCTTTAGCTGATGGTTTATTTAATTTTTCTTCAAAAACGCTTCGTAAAATTATTTCATAAATATGATGTCTGCATRGCAAATAAAATAATTTTTTTCCTAAAAGCCTTTCTAATAATACACAAGTACCACCCAATCGACCACTATTAACTGCAGTTGTATCAAACGACWGAGCTTTAACCAAATTKTGTATATTCCATTCAATTAAAGTTTTGTAAATAACTTCTGCCTGTTTATTTGCCGTTGCTTTTTGTAAAACTGGAATACTTAAAATTTTTTCTGTATCACCACTTGAAATTACAATGGCTAGCCTATCAATAATATCTTTTCCAACCAAATTAGGAAGAAGCTTGCCGTCCCAGTGTAATACAACAGCTTTAAGATCACTTTCTTGAAATTTATCTTTTATTATACTCGCTCTCTCCTTACGCAAAATCTGTCGACAACGTTGAATTKATGTCCTATTAATAACAAAGTCCTCCACATTTTTTTCTAGAGCTTCTACCACTGCCATAATGATATGAATTGCCCCCTATGATTTCAAACCATGATGAGCACTCTGTGCCTCCATACTGAGTCGTAGGCTTTAGATATGTCAAGGMTTACCATATCTAGTGTTTGTTTGTTTTCGAAAGGTATGTCGATTTCTGATTTAATTATGTGTAGGTTATCGATTGTGGATCTTGATTGACGGAAACCATTTTGTTCTTAATTTATAATTTTGTTTTTTTTCAAGGAACCAATTGAGTCTTGTGTTTAAAATTATTTCCATTATTTTTGCCATAGTGTTTAACAAAGTTATTGGTCTGTAGCTGTCGATGGAGTGTTTTTCCAGGTTTAATGATTGGAATAATTATGCCACTTTCCCACTTACTTGGAAGAGTTCCTATTCGCCATATCGTATTATATATTTATAGTAGGTGGTTTTTGGCGGTGTTACCTAGGTTGTGAATGAAGCAGTATGGTATTCCGTCAGGTCTGGGGCTTTTACTTCTACATTTTACAAGTGGTATTTCTCTTTCCTTTATGGAGAAAGGTTCGTTTAAGCTTATTTGGTCTGGATAAAGAAGATTTACATCAAGATTGTATGGATATATTTTCTACTGTCATTTTTATGCCTTCAAGAAATTGTTGTTTGTAAATCTTATCGCTGAAGTTTTCGTGGAAGTGCTGATTTTTTGGGCAACCTTATCTGATTCGGATGTTGTTCCCAACTCATGAGTTACGTGGATTTCCTGGTCTTGATTTAAGTGATCTTATTCCAGATAAGCGATGGGTGTGTATTTTTATTGATGGTACTTGCGAGTTTTTCCCATGATTCCTTTTTACTATTCTTGATTAAGAACATAAATGTGGCTCTTAGTTTTTTAAGTTGAATAAAGTTTTTGTGAGATTTGTTTTTTTTTTATGTGTTCAGTACATTTTTAAAAAAATTGTATGGCCTCTTTAATCGCATAATTCCACCAAGGAACTTTTGGTCTGTAGGTTTGATTTGTGTGGCTTCAAATAGTTTTTTCCGCTGTAAAGGTTAATATTGTTGTGAATGTTCTGACCATTTCATTAATGTTTAGTTGGTTAGTGGTGGATAGTTTGGTAACTTCTTCATCAACTATTTCACCGAAAAGGATCTAGTTTGGGTTTTGAAGGTTCCATCTTTGACTTTTGTTTTTATTTGATCCGCCGGTCCTAAGGGTGAAAGTTATTTTTATTGGAATATGATCACTACTGAATATGCCGGTTAATACTTTCCATTCGATTTTATGAGCTAGGGAGGATGAATAGACACTCAGATCAATACATGAAAAGTTTCCGTTTGCTAAATTAGTGTGTGTAGGGGTTGAGTCGTTAAGTATCGTGATGTTATCTTTGTCAAGTAGTTTTTCAATTTTTTTACCTCTGAGGTCTGTTTTAGTGGATCCTCATGTGAGCATTAAAGTCGCCTAGAAGGATGAAAGGTGTGGGAAGTTGTTGCATAATGTGATCTATATCCATAGGGCTGACATTTTTTTGGTTGGGGAGATGTTATATATATATATATATATATATATATGTTGCATATTGTGAATTTTTCTTTCATTTCGATTTGTACTGCCAAGACTTCTAGTTCACTGTGGATGGTTTGGTTTGATATAAAATCTTATAAATAGGATAAACGTACCACCACTAGCTCTACCTGCTTCTAGACGGTTTTTTCTGTAACCTTTATAATTTTTGAGGGGAGCTATGTAATTGTCTTTGAAGTTTGATTCTTGGAAGGATATTATATTTAGATTATGATCTTGTATATTTAGTTCAAGTTCATCTTTTTTTAATTTTTTATTATCTTTTTAGGTATTAATAATTGCTGCAGTGAAGATGGGTCCTCTGGAGGGTTAATGTTGACTAATGCTTTGTTTAGTCTCATAAGCCTCTTTTTAATACTGAGGTTATTTATTTTCGCATGAATGGTGCCAATAATTTCGATCATCTCCATCGGTGAAATATTGAATTGTTTGAGTGTGCTGATAGGATTATTGAACGTGTTTTCTATAATATATTTGAGCTGGGAGAAGGTTATTTTTAGATTCGGTATTTGATTGAAAGTAGATTTGGCAGGTGTTAGTAATTCATCCAGCTTATTTACAATTTGTTCTATAGAATTTACACGTTTAGGTTTTTTAGGTGTTGGTTGTATGGTTTAATTGGATTTATTTGAGTTTAATAGCATGATTGTGAGTGTTCCATTGTTAGTTTGTTGGCTTTGTATTKACGTCGTAGCAGGTGAATCGTTTTCAGGATTCACTATATTCTGTGTACGATCAGGGCTAAGAATATAATATAACTATAATAAATAACCATACAAAGAGTAGTTTTTTTTTTACAATCTGAATACTTAGATAAAAGTACATTGTACATTGTTAATAGAACATACTTTTTGCAATTTTTTTTGTAATTATTTTCAATTCAAATATTTCTTTTAGATAAAATTAATTTTTTAAAATTTTTTTATTGTTTATTTATAGGGAAAATCAATTTACGGACAACATACCTCTGAAGCTATTTCAACTGGTAAAATTAATCTTAATTATCTTGATCTTAAACTACTATATTTAATATTGTTTAACTGACACTTTTAGGTGCTGATACAAGTAACATCTTATATTCAGATAATGGATTGGAAAACTTTCCTTTCTCATTAAAAGCTGACAATATTAAAGTAAGTTTTTAATGTGTGTTTGAAAATTTAGTGATTTTAAGTACATAATATATAATTTTTATAAAATACTTGATAAAACTTATCATAACCCTAACATATTTTTGCAATAGCAGGTGAAAAATAAAAGAAATACATATTCACAATAGTTTTTTACAAGCAATCAAATTTTAATTTTTACAACACGTGAAAATCACGAAAATGCGCAAATTATTTTAAGCTAGAAATTCATAAAAAATTTTCCTTTTATATCGCATGATTTGAAAATTTAATACAAGGCTCCTAAAATT